CGTTTCGCATCTATGTTGCAGTCGCTATTGTAATTGGTGTGGATTCAGTAGAGGGCAGGGCCTGCCTGTACTTGTCCAGACTTCTGTAGCGCAGCCCCACAGATATGTTCCAGTTCAATATATACTGGGGGTGGTGCAGTACCCTCGTGGCTCGTCACTCCGAACACCCGGATCGATTCCTCACATGGGTACAATATGTGAAGTTCTTGCTGGAATATCGCTAGAAGAGGCGTAAAACCATACTCACTAACTCACCCAGACATATGTCAGTGTGCTTGTGCACTCGGTTTGTTGCGATTAATTCTATGTGGTTCCACTGAAAATCACCATGAAACAAAGTTTAAAAAGATTTATCTTGTTTGCAATCTTTGTGGATATTCCTTTCACAATTTTCTACGCATTCCATATTTTCGATGCCTCCTGCTGGTCCTCGCTTGATATCTGAATAACTAGGATGAACTGACAAGGTAGTGTGCAACGGATCCATTCACTCATTCTCCCACCCTACGGCATTGGATGAAGAAGAAGAAGAAGAAGAAGAAGAAGAAGCACATGCAAAGTGTTTGCGAAAGGCGGAACTTTAAATAACGAATAATTGATAATTGTGCATTTATATTGCGGTAAACACCATTCACGAGGTGGATGCTCATAGCGCTAACAATCTGACTATTATTACCCAGGATAACCCAACCTGCCAGTGAGAAGCTAGGTTATTAGTCGCGTGACTTATCCCACCGGGTACCCATTTTCTGCTGGGTGAACAGACGCAATTTTCAACCAACTCACTTGTCTATGGCGAGACCACATGTATCACACCTGTTTTGTTGTGGGGCAGGACAGAAGCTTTAGAAACTCTCCGCGCTCAACGTTGCTTGACGTCAACTGATTTGTGACCTGAGCGTTATGCGCAGGACCACACACCGCCACGGTGTTAAAAATGTTAAATATAATAATAACGCTTTATTGCCCAAGGAGATTTGTTTCACACCAGGTGCTGTGATAAAATAGCATTGCATTTAAACATGACGAGTACAGAGATATGTGACATGAACCTACCGGGAACAATGTATGCCGTTCCTGCTAAGAAATAGGATAATAAATTTGCTTGAATATCACAGGTTTTTTATTTAAAACTAGCGAGTTACCATAAAATATTATTCTCTAAACAACAACGGATGTGAAAACAACCGGCCTGTAGTCATTGAGTTCTTCGGATCGTCAGAGAGTTTTCCAAAAATATTGTCACGTCCAGGCGTTTTCCAAACGTTTATCCTACTGTTAATTCCAGTTAATTCAAGCAGTGATGGTACCAGGCGAAACCAAAAAGCGTGTATTAATCAAATCACTCAAAACTCATTTTATCCAGTCTAAGTTTAAGAAAAACAAAAATGGAACTCTCCGATAGTTACACAGATAAAGGCGGAAAATAATTTAGACAGAAAAAAGTGACGAAGCTATTTTTAAACCGTAAGGACTACACAGACATACTCCCTGAGACATGCATACCTGTGATATGTGGTTGTGAAGATCAATTCTAACCCGGATCTTCACGGACCTAAAACAATTAGAAGAGAAGAAGGGGAATTGTAAAACATTTCAAAATCAATGTTGTTTCATTGTTCATTGACGTTCGAACTACGTTTGTTCACTACAGATTAATCTCTGAAAATTATTTGACGAATATGTTTGGTCAAATATTTGCCTGTCGTGTGCATTTAGTTGTGAATCCAATATACCAAATACTTTCATTATAAATTGACAAACTCAAGTGTACAGACGAAATCTCAAGTCAATAATTGTGTATGTGTATCTCTGTGTGTGCATGCGTGCGTTGAACATCCGCGAAGTGGATGAGTGAGCGACTGAGTATGATTTTACACCGGGTTTAGCAATATTCCAACTATATATCACGGCGGGCGACACCGGAAATGGGCTTCACACATTGTACCTGGATTGGATCTTTGGCGTGACGAGCGAACGCTGTACCCACTAGGCTACCCCATCGCCCGCTGATTGCACGTGGCTGGTACTGTTGTAGAGATTGTAGAACTGCAACTGCATTCGTGTCCATCTTGTGTTAGTCCGGGACAAGCCGAGGTTTGAAGGTTACAGAAAAGGGCGGCTGATAATCAATCCTGTCGCAGTGAGTGCGTGCGTGCGTGCGTGCGTGCGTGCGTTCGACGCCCCTTTTAGCAACATTCCCGCAACATCCCGGCGGGGACACTAGAAATGGGCTTCACACGTTGTACCCATGCTGGGAATCAAACCCGGGTCTTCGGCGCGACGAGCGAACGCTTAACCCCTGGGCTACCCCGGCGCCCCAAACCGGTAGTAGGCGAACGCTTATTGTGTATGTATCCATAAAATGTCAATCCTATTAGTAGTATTAGAAGGACAGACGCATGTTTAGAAAATAATACCATTAGTTACTTGTTCGAAGTAAATGGGACATGGATGGACGCATCGTACCAGACAGGTAATTAGATAATGATCAAATGACAAAAACAAATTTAAACAAAAAATAAATAAAAATAACCAACAAAAATTGAAATGCACTTTGTACTTCTTTCCACTTAGACGCAGAGAAGACATTAGTGCCTAAATTATTTATTTGAACACTAACACATAGTATTTCACATGGAATGGCACTCAGAGAAGTGAAGAAAGGTGGTGAGTAGCATGGGAACGCGGATTTGGAAATAAAAAAAGGGTGTACATAAATAAATGTGACGGGGGAGTGCTATTGATTTTGAACATGACAAGCAGGGGGATCACTTTGTACACATTATTTATTTTTATTTTTATTTATTTATTTTTTTATTATTTTTTTTTTTTTGGGGGGGGAGGGGTGTCATTCACATTATACATGCATAAAAAAATCATCATTCCCCCTCTAACCCTCTAGCCCAAAATAATAATTGGTCCCTAACCAAAACAGATACGGAACGTGAGTGACAAGGGTAAAGGCTGTTTCTAACAGCATGCTAGTCTTGTCATGACTTGTCTAGTCTTGTCAAGTACATAAATAAATGTGACGGGGAAGTGTCATTGATTTTGAACATGACAAGCAGGGGGATCACTTTGTACACATTATTTATTTTTATTTTTATTTATTTATTTTGTTATTATTATTTTTTTTTTTTTGGGGGGGGTGTCATTCACATTATACATGCATAAAAAAATCATCATTCCCCGTCTAACCCTCTAGCCCAAAATTATGGTCCCTAACCAAAACAGATACGGAACGTGAGTGACAAGGGTACAGGCTGTTTCTAACAGCATGCTAGTCTTGTCAAGTCAGGTTATTGTGGTATCTCAGACGTATACCACTTTGATAAAACATACGATTACGGGTCGGGTATGGAACAGTGAGTGAAACAGTTAGGATTTCTAGTCAAATCGGCAGTATTTAAGCCATATCCTGACTAAAACAAGGTATACATTCGTGACACGTAAATTAGAGAATATAAAAACCTGTTGACAAACTACGTTGAAACAACCATAAAATCACAGATACAGATGCACAGTCAGCATGTAAATCTAAAACCATAGACAAAACAAGCTACACATCATCAACAACTGAAGGTAGATCACCAATCTAGGGATCATGAGGTCTTACGGTACGTTTGCTTCCTGCATGGACCCTAGCTGGGTTTACACCATCCCTTCAGCAGCTGACGACTGTGCTATTTATATATTTACAAAACAATATGTTTATCAAATATTTTCAAATAACTCAATTTATGTCCACAAACCAATTATTAAATGATAATTGACCTGGTTTACAAGACCCTTCATTGTTTTTACACAGACATATTGATCCCTTGTGATGGAAAAATCAATACAGTCAATCAGGACATGATTGTCCTTGATTATTCCATCACAAGGGGAACAGGATGGAGGATCCTCATGAGAAAGCCTAAAATGACAAATAAGACATCGTCGCATAATAACCCTTTCAAATCTGGACTGACAACCTAAGTGAGCATAACCAATAGTTGGCTTAATTCCTTGTAATTTATTGATATCCACTTGAGTGGGTATGGAACAGACAAAGCAGGGCACATTATTCGGAGAATCGGGCCTTGAATTCGTGATCACAATGAACCCTATACAGAGGTTTTCTTCTTATTTTTCTCATTTGATCTTGGGATAAAAACATATTTACATATTAAAACTCCCGCAAATCAAAGTCTGTACAAAAATAGATTTCACTTCACATGGATATGAGGAGAAACAATGCTATGTAGGAAAGAGTCCCATGGCAATTAGCCGGTTTGCGGTATTTCCTGGCTTGGCGACTGCAAACAGGACATATAGCTTTCAACCTGGGCTGAGAGCGGCTCCTCGGGTACGAGTGAGTGAGTTTGGTTTTACGCCGCTTTTAGCAATATTCCAGCATTATCACGACGGGGGACACCGGAACCGGGCTTTACACATTGTACCTATGTGGGGAATAGAACCCTGGTCTTCGGCATAGCGAGAGAGAGAACGCTAGGCTACCACTAGGCTACCGCATTGCCATTCTGCAAATGAGAACTCACGCATGACTCGATGAGATCCTCTCACCAATGGTCCAGATCCACGAATGTTTTTCGTCCCGGCAATGGTCTGTAACCTATTACAATCCCGCACACCCAAGCCACCCCCTCCCCTTCCCTCTCCTCCCTAGATATATAACACACTTGTTTCATAATATGAAGAAATAGAATTTAAACTTAAACACTAGAAGTGGGTGAGTGAGTTTAGTTTTACGCCGCACTTATCAGTATTCCAGCTATATGGTGGCGGTCTGTAAATAATCGAGTCTAGACCGGACAATCCAGTGATCAACATGATGAGCATTGATCTACGCAAATGGGATCCGATGACATGTGTCAACCAAGTCAGCGAGCCTGACCACCTGATCCCGTTAGTCACCTCTTACGACAAGCATGGGTTACTGAAGATCAATTCTACCCGGAAACCCGAATCTTCACGGGTCACTTAAACACTTGAAGAAGTAATAAGGCGTGTACATGCACTTCACCCTTGTTTATATGCATATACACCAAGAGAGATGCACTATGAACGATGATGATTTGTGTATCCGCATACATTAAGTCAATTACGGTTGTGTCGATGTTGTTGGGACCCACGCTTATACTTCGAGTTATCCGAGTTTCAAAACAAAAGCCAAATGTTGACTACATAATATATACGCAGTCACCAAACTTTTGCTTCGAGACAAAAGAAGTTCGACACAACGGTGCTTTAGTGTATTTATGACGTGTCAGTGCTGACGTTAGTTTCCTCATCACCAATTTCTAAGAAAGAGTACAAACGATTCGGGTCGATGTGTTGGAAACGATTGAGGGACTCGTAGTGTTCTTGAGGTGGAACCCGGGCGTTCCCTGTGCTGTTACGCGCACCATACGGATTTGAGTACCCAACGCCCCTGGCAGACAGATCGCAGGCCTGATTGTCATTGACGGGACACGGATGGTAATCCCCAAACAATTGCCGGTGATCAATTGGCCGTGTCCGACCATCCTCTACCTCAGAATATACAGCGTTGTGAACCGGGGATATGTAACTGGTGCTGGGAGGAGGCTGATGTTTCTCAGAGATTTTCCAGTGGTTGTCTGGAACGGCGTAATCTCCATCTTCCGTATCCCGATTGGCGCGATGGACTGCTGAGAGGTAGCTTGCACTGAGAAGGAAGGTTGCGCCCATGTCCCCCACCTCTCTGAGTCCGTCACCTGCATTCCCATCACGATCATCCGTCATGTTGACGACATCATCAACGTCTCGGGCAGCAGGCAGAGATGGAGAGGATGCTGATGGTCTGTTTGACCAACTGCAATTGATTATTGTGTGGTAACTATGACAGTATTAAACCATACGTAAGGGGGCAATTATGTCAATATCAATAGTATGTTACGTCGCTTTGTACAATATTTCAGTGATTTCGCGGCGAGTTCATATTTTATAATGAAACTTTATTTCTGAACAATGAATAACTTGTTTAGTGTCACGATGCTGCTGAAATAATGCCGATGTGACAAAGAAGTCTTCACAAACTCACAGTTTGTTTTAGAATTCTTTAACGTCATATCATGAAAAATACTTTCGCTTTTAACTCAGTGACAGATTCAAATTATTACATTTACTAAATTTATTTTAAATAACATTACTTGTTAATACCCAAGAAGCTGCAAATGTTTTGCTACCCAATATACATCTTCTATGTATTATTGTTTGCTGTTGAACTCCAAGCTAACATAATCGAATATGGACCTGACAAACCAATAAAACGGGATTCGAACCTATAATCATAGTTTCCTAGCGTTCATAAGGGACGCAACTATGCATAACAACCAGGGTATTCATGGTAAACAGAAAATTATAATCTGAAAATTATTTGAATGGATGAATGGAATAGATGGAAGTAATTCGAGGCTGTTGTAGCAATTGCTCCTGGCTTTTTCATTACAAAACGGTGAAATAAAAGCGATGATTCTTACCACCTTACTGCGAGAAGAATACAGGATGCTGTAATAACGATGATGATGGTGATAATGATGGTGATGATGATGATATTCGGACGACCACCTGTTCACAAAATCAACTATCAGACATGCACAATGAGTTGGCTGCAAGGGGCTGCAAGTTTAGTTAGTTATTCAATTTAAGGAATGTGTTTTCTTTGAAAACAGTCCAACCTGCCTCGTTTAGATGCGTCCTCCGCCAAGTCAAATTGCTTCAGGTCAGCCACTTCTTATCATTGTGGCTTGATTGAGTTGCTTTGGACAAAGCAAATGGAAGTCGAAACTGAAAGTTGGCCATACGTAAAATATAGCACACACGCGACCTGAAATTTCAATGCGTCATACTGATTCTATGACAAACAGTTTCTCGAGAATATCAGTATCGGGCAGAAAATAGTGAGTCATTTACTCACTGACGCATAATGTACATTATCATCTAATAAAGGGTGTTATCGGTGCAATAAAGCAATCTGATAAACTTGGTATCCAAATCTGATAACTATGCAAATCACGTCAATCCACGAACTACTTTCGCAAAACTCCATACACGCCATGCGATTCCTAAAACGTTTTTCATTTCATTGATGACGTCGTTGCGATTTTACATATTTTGTAAACAAACATGGCTGCCCCCATTCTCAAAATTTGTGATTCTGTAAGAATTGGTGACAGAGGTTCTGGAGTGGTTACTGCAGTAATTGACTATGGAAAACATGAAACGGAATACTTCGTTCAAATTGAAGGTACGGATTATGAGGCACGACTGAAAGTCAATCGTCTAAGAAAGGTACCAATCAAGGATTTCGTATCGATCACAATACAGACGACGAATCGATTCCGTCAGGTATCAGAAAGTATGTTTGTGCTGTATTAGCGACTACTTTTTTGGTAGTCACAACCATATGCCGCCGTCATGAACGACCTTCACCTTGGTGAACCGCTATATATTGTTACGCGAATGCTCGATTCTCATTCGAGATTCACGTCCGATTTGCTTCTTATTTTAGAGTAATATTAAGAATGACATTATATGATGAGAGATTATTAACCTCGTGTGTTTCCGTATGATTAATATCATATATTAGGAATAAAAAGTATGTATTAAACAACGAGTTATCAAATCTGCGACAGCATTTTAAAAAAATATATAAAATGATTAAATGACTGTATTGTAAGGTATTGTGGAAGAATATAGAATAACTTCAAAATCATAACTGGAAATTAATATATCGCTTTGAACATCGATTCGTCTTTATAAGCAGTAACGGCCAACCAATTGTTCTCCCCTGTAAACGTCATGGAAACAAGACATATTGATTGGTGTTTGTCTGTGGTTTAATGACGTATCAGTAGTATTAAAGCTATATTACGGCAGTCGCCTCTGGACCAGACAATCCAGTGATTGACATCATGAGCATTGATCTTCGCAATTTGGATACATGCAACAACCAAGTCAGCAAGACTGATACCCCTAGTCCCCGTGTGAGTGGACCGTCAGAGGATTGTATGTCATTTTTCAAAGATGGTGTGGGGCATTGACTTGTCTTGTCCATACATAAATAGGTGCCAACAAATTTGGACAACTCGCGACATTGATTTGGTTTGGTTTGGTTTGGTTGTTGTACAACGCCGCATTCAGCAATGTTCTAGCTATATGGCGGCGGTCTGTCAATAATCGAGTGTGGACCAAAAATACCACTGATCAGCATCATGAGCATCGAACTACGCAATTGGGATACGATGACATATGTCAACCAAGGCAGCGAGCCTGACCATCCGATCCTGTTAGTCGTCAGTACGACAAGCACGACAGGCCGAAGACCAATTCTAACCCGGATCTTCACGGGTAGGTGTCAGTAGTGTAAGACAATGAGGAAATGCATCGTGCTCTTGGTATTTCTACACCACATGCATGCTAGATGTGTAAAGTTAGTACCTCTTGGTGGTGTGGTATCTGGTTCCGACTCCTTGGCTCGATCGCAAATGTGTTCACAAAGTGCCCCTATATAGTCATGGACACATTCATCCACACAGGCTGTTGACAGCTGGACACATGGGCCTGTGTCATGCACCGACAGATTGCGACAGTAATTGCTGCAGTTCTGGGAACACGCCTCCACATGTTGAATCTTTAGACTTTCATCCGAATTGCTTTCATTGAAACACCTACCCGTTAAACCAAAGCAGATTGAATTGCAGCTCTCACCATACAGTCGACTGACGTTCGATATGCACGACGTGACATGACGTTCATATTGTGTACACTTTCTGGGCCTCGTCTGGGCACAAGCTGTTCCGCGAGTGCCATCTGCACACCCGTAATGACAGACTGGCCAACCGTTAAATTCAATCCAACACTCCCCCTCACGGCATCTCGGCCTAACCACAGCGATATGTCCCCTTGCATCCGTCGTCAATGTGGAGTGTGTGGTTTGGTCGGTTGGTGTGTGTGTTTGGGACTGGTGATCTACAGAAGGCAAGTCTGGTTTCTCTGAAGAGTTCCCAATACACTCCCCTGTACTCCAGTGACAAGGACCAGGACACCCGGAACACTGCTTGTCACATTTCTTGCCGTATATGCCTTCGCTGCATTCCTTCTTACACGACACGTTGAATCTGTGGCACAAGTTGTCGGGGCATGTTGATGGACAGCTCTGGCTGCACGTCATACCATAAAACCCATCACGGCAGTCCTCACAAAGTCCACTTGGTCGACACAGTCCGTCCTTGCACTCCGATGGACAGACGTTAGAACAGTTTTCTCCATAAGACCCTCGCCCACAAACTGTTAAACGAAGCAACCATGTATTAACGTTATTATAAAACGAAGCATGTATAGTATGAACATAAAATTATTGAGAATTTTAGCAATATGTTTAATTGGATTTCTAGTATAAACAACCTTGACCAGCTATCAAGTGCTTGGTTTCATTCAAGAGAGACAACTCCGTTAATCCTGTTTCATTAGTTTGTGAAGAGTTATCCCCTTTGTTTACTTGCTAGCAGACGACATTTTCAGTGATCCTCAGTATGGATGATTTAGAGAAGAGGAAGTTGATTTTAGAGTATCATAACAAGGACATCAGATCGGCTAAAGTGATTTCAAGTAGAACAGGCATCCCTTTGTCCACTGTTTATCACGTTTTGAAAAGTATTGCAAATGGATATTATGGCTTTTGAGCACCAGGGAGGAGCAGGTAGGCCCAGAAAATTGACTGTCAGTGACAGGAGGCGGCTTGGTATTCTTGTTTCTAAAACAAACGAAGGAGTTTAGAAAACTTAAGGCTGGATATGATTGATAGAGGAACTGTGGCTGTCTGTAAGGAGACAATTAGAACTGAGCTGCATGCAATGGGTTGGCAGAAAAGTCGAGGAATTCCATCACCGATCATGAAACCTGAACAAAAGGAGCGAAGGTTGAACTGGTGCTTACAGCATAGAAAATTTTAGCTGGGACAATGTGATTTTCTCAGATGAAATTTCTGTGTGGCTGTTTCCTAATACACTGAAATTCTGGACTAAACAAACTGAAAAGCCTTTGTATCAGCGCCCAAAGTACACTCCGAAATTTAACGTTTGGGGTGGCATATCTGTGTTAGGGGCAACGCCCCTCTGTGTATATGAAGGGAATATGAACAGTGATCGGTACACAGATGAAAAATCTCGAGGGACATTTACTTCCATCTGCTCACGTGTTCTATGGAAATGCTTGGATTTTCCACCAGGACAACGACCCAAAACACCGTTCAAAGCATTCACAGGCCTGAGTTTCGGACCCAAAATATGACATTATTAGATTTGCCGAGCTATAGCCCTGACCTAAATCCCATAGAAATTGTTTGGGGACTTATGAAGGAAAGTGTCAATAAGAAAAATCTGACAAATATTGCTGAAATGAAAGAAGAGGTGGTCCTATATTGGGACAGCATGGACCACGACTTTCTAACTTCTTTGATCAGTAGTATGCCCTGCCGCATTGAAGCCTGCATTGCTGCTCATGGTGACTTGACAAAATACTAACTGTTCACCTGTCTTTGAATCTGGAGTTATGTTCTGCTAATATTCACATTAATACGTGAGTAATGAGTGAAAAAAAAGAAGAAATTACAATCTTTAAATTCTCAATAATTTCTGGTTGTACTGTATGTGGGGTCACCAAATGGTAACGACGCTTGTTTTCACAAAGCCCAATTTTTGAATGACACAGTCCGTCTTTGCACTCCGATGGACAGACGTTAGAACAGTTTTCTCCATACAGCTCTGGCCGACAGACCGTTAGATGAAGCAAACATAGATCTTTATGTATTCGAAAAATCATGGTGAAATCTGTTTAAGTCAAGTAGATGTTGGGCAATGAGGTAACCAACTGATTTAGACGCTCACTTGATACACCTGGGTTTGAATTCTCACTTATATTTTGTGTGTTTTGGAGTCATCTGTCGAAAATATTTGTTGGTCAGAATGTGAATGGAAACTCAACTGCATTTAGATCTTTAGAACATATGTTCAACATGATCTAAAGTGTGAATAATTACCCCAGGCAGTAAACCATTTGTTTGCCCGTCAAGAATATATGAACATTTCTCCTTATGCCCCGGCCATATAGAATGGAGTAAAAGAAGACGCTATTAGGCAAAGCCAGCACAGTGACAATACCACCATAACGACATTTTGACAAGAGAAAAGACATCATGGGTTATGGTGTGTGCGTGTGTGTGTGTGTTGTGCGCGCGCGTGCGTGCGTGCATGCGTGCGTGTATGTGTGTTAGCCTAGTGCTTAAAGCGTTCGCTCGTCACGCCGAAGACCCGAGTATGATTCCCCACATGGGTACAAAGTTTGAAGCCTATTTCCCGTGTGCCCCGCCGTGATATTGCTCGACTATTGCTAAAAGCGGCGTAAAACTATACTCACTCAACTCACTCATGGGTCATGGATAATTTTGTGTCGTAGCCCAGTCAGTAGTAGAATGTTTACAAAGTCTAACTCAAGCACATTATCAGTAAATCTGTTTTTCTTCATTTCAAACATTGTAAAGGTCACGTGTTTGCAGAGACAATTATTAACCTACATTAATCATCACTGTTCTTTGTTGCCCTTAAGTTATATCACATGTACAGTGACTTGTCCCATGGTCCCTAGTATGGTGATTTACCTTCAGTTGTTGGCGATCACTAGCCCATTTCTACATTGTATTGTCTAACATAGTTTTCTAAGTTTAAAAATAATACTAGCTATTACTCTTTTTTTGATACTCTGGTTTTTTAACTACTAAAATTTATATGGCTGAAATATTGCCGGGTGACGTTAAATTTTCACTCACTTGTCATATTCGGGACGCCTGTTTTTACATTGTCTTGTCATTTCTAGCTAACATGTTTTAGATTTCATCACTAGTTTGAACTGGATTTCTGTGATATACTAGTAGTTTTACTGTTCTTCGTCAACAGGTTTTAATTTCTAATTTTACCTTTATATGATATAATCATTAATTGTTCTCGTCACGATATGGCTGAAATATTGCCGATGTGACGATAAATATTAACTCACTCACTCACTCATATTCGGGATATGATTTTAGAAATTATGTGTTACACCTGAACGTTTCATATGTGTATCATAAGTTGTATGATATGTGCGATATATTCATCATCATTCACTCACTTACCATTACTGGAACTGCAGTGGAACCCGACAAGCAGACACGTCATCAACAATAATTCGACTGTGCCCATTATATAAGATGTGCTTCAACGGATAGCCATCTTCGTTATCTGGAAGTAATAATGGGACTGTGTTGTGCTTACACTATTCCTTACACCCTTCCAACCAACAGATCAACAATGAAACAGTTAGTCCAAAACGCATGATCCAACTAACAATTGCGATGATTCGTACCATTTCACCACATTTTGTGTTAAACATTATGTAAATATATTCACAGCGTAAATTATCCCTCTGTATTTTCAGTAACACAAAAGGCTTAACAGTGTGCATCCTATTGTTAACACGGCAATGCCTTGACATTCTTCAAGTTTTTTAAGTTCATGTTTTAATGCTTCATATAATCAACAATAAAACAAGTGTTTGTTTTTTTCGGGTTCAGTGACATTAAATGAAGTAGTGGTGAGGTAAATTGTGGGTTTAACGTCATACTTAAAGGTCACATGCAACCAAAAAATCAAACATAATTAAAACACAATTATCACTTATTCATGACATATAATATACATTGCTGGTTATGAAAAAACATTATACGCGTACAATCGCAAATCAAAAGTGCAATATTGTGTACTTGGGTTTGTTTCCCAAGAAACGAAGCAGCCGGGATACCGAACCCAGTCAGAGCGGGTGGGTGTGCACTCAAGTGTAACGGCTGGTTCATTTGCAGATGCCCTCACGGCTCATTGTGTGTGTATATATAGAGATGTTGGGTTTTGTAAATACATGCTCATTTTTTTGTGTATAACATTTTACAATCAACAGACATCATAACATGTCATGTGTACAAATATCACACCTGCCTGTCTGTGTAATTACATAATGTGACAGAGACCGAACTCGGGCCATAAATCAATGCATTTTGTTTATGGTGTATAGCCTGATTGGTGTTAAGTTCAAATTGCATGTTATCAGTGATCGCAGTTGTGTATTGAATATGGTCTTTAGCAGACAGGCAGGCAGACACATAGGTGTCAATAAAACAGATATTGAGTTTTGTCTGTGACAACGACATATCTGTATCACAGTTAGAATTTCTGTCAACGCTAAATAATGACATTGCTTTTAAGTATCGAACTGAGAAAGTGACTCGGTAAGAAGAACGTGTGGTGAAATAGACAAATGAAAGTATATAAACAGTTAATCTACTGCCATAACATATAAAAAGCTCGCGCCTGTGAAATATCAACAAAACATGAGAAAAATAGCTCACACCAAAGCCTTCACCGGACAACCCGCTTCCAAGCTGCGCGAACCTATTTCACTGCGCACGTGCTATGAGCGCAGCCCAGCTGTTGAAACCACTTGAATTCCCCCAAGCGCTGGGGGAAAATTAGGGACTCGTTTCAACTACGATTTCGCGCGGGTTTTTTTCATCGCGTTATTTTTACAACTTTATAAGTTGAATTTGCATTTTTGATGATTTGTTTCGGTAAGTCCATACCGAAAGGTATCAGAATCTGCAAAGTTGTGTTTTACGTTGCATGTGACCTTTAAGAATATTTCGCTGATAAGAGTGAGTGAGTGAGTTAATATTTAACGTCACATCGGCAATATTTCAGCCATATCGTGACGTGAACATTATACATTGAAATGGATCGCTGATAAGACGATGTGCATGCGTGTTTATGTGTGGCCTTTTGTACTAGCACAGACTAAAGCTGGTTTTATAGTGCTAGCTCACTGTGATACCATGCTGCAGTTAAGCATGAATACCCCACTCAGACACATTATACTGACTCCGAGCCGACCAGTCCTTGTTGTACCCATTAATGCCGAGTGCCAGGCAGGGACCAACAAGTACAATATTTTAACGTCTTTTGGTATGGCGTTTTTTGGGATCGAACCCGCGACCTTCCGCTCTCCGGGCGGACATTCTAACCACTACACCATGAAGGCAGTTTAAGTGAAGTATTGCAAATCGTTGTGCAGTCCACTGGAATTTATTGCTCCAGGATCAAAATTCATGATTTATCCCAATTAAATGCGTTGCGATACAGTCACTAACAGTCAATGTCCTTTCCCTATATTCAATTTTATA